CAGCCATAAAAACCGACAACATAATGCCATTTGCAGCAAAACGGATGTTCCTGGAGAGTGTCATTCTAAGTGAAGTAAGCCAGAAAGAGAAAGAAAAATACCATATGAGATCGCTCATATGTGGAATCAAAAGAAAAAGGAACATAAATACAAAACAGAAACAGACTCACAGACATAGAATACAAACTTGTGGTTGCCAAGGAGGCGGGGGCTGGGAAGGGACAGACTGAGATTTCAAAATGTAGAATAGATAAACAAGATTATACTGTAGAGCACACGGAATTATATACAAGATCTTGTGGTAGCTCACAGCAAGAAAAAATGTGACAATGAATATATGTATGCTCATGTATAACTGAAAAATTGTGCTCTAAACTGGAATTTGACACAACATTTTAAAATGACTATAACTCAGTAAAAAAAATGTTAAAAAAAGCTAAAGCTCTTGCCCTTAAGAATCTCTAAGATTAGTTGAAGAGTCACCTACCAACAGTATGCCAGGCATATAAAAAAAATAAGGCAATATTTGGCTCTAACCTTGTGAAGTCTGTCACAAGAGTACCAGTGGAAGTCTCTGCATGTCTGGCTCTGCTCTGTAACATTAGGGGCTTCACATGTACATGTACCCATGTGGACCTAAAGGCCCAACTCCACCCAGGTTGCATCTGTCCCTTTCCAAAGAGCTGCCCTTTATAAAAAAAAAAAGAAAAGAAAAGAAAATTACAAACATGCTAGGTATCACTCTATCACTCAGCGGGTAACTGGATAAATAAATTATAGTATTTTCATAAACAGAATTGCAAAAAAGTGGTGAAACACTCAACTAGGTTTACATATATCAACGTGGATGAATCTTACAATTTTAAATGAAAAAAATTGCCTGAAGAATACTTTATTATATATGCAATTTATGTAGTGTATAAAAAATTCAAAACAATGTACTTTTAGGGATACGTATGTGGTAAAAGTATAAAATACATGAGCAAGACATACTCCAGATTTACAACAGGATTATTTTTGTGGGAAGGGAAGGGGATTTGATCAATGAGAGGCACTGCCTAGAATAGTAACATTTGATTTCCTAAGCTGGGTGGTAGTGTAGGGTTGTTCATTATATTATTCTTTATACCTTTTTGTGTATCTTAAATGTTACATCGTAGTTAACAAACATAAAAGTATATGTAAATGGTTGCCATGTGGAGATCTCAAATACAAGTATATCGGACAAGTAACACTACCCTCATGCTATCCAAATGAATAGTTGTGGCTGGAGCTACAATTTCCAGTGACAGCATCTGACATATATTTAAAAGGTGGTATATCTCAAAAGCCTTTTTATTTCCCTGCAGAAACTCTCTCTAGCCCCACTTCAACCCACCCCAAACTCATCTCACTTAAAAGCATCCACGTTTACCCAATTGCTCTGTCTGAAACACCAGAGTCTTCCTTGCCTTCTCTCTTTGCTGTGCATCCCCGAGTCCATCAGCAAGTCCTCTCATTGCTGCCTACACAGCCCATCCAGAATCTGTCCTTTTCTTTTCCTCTCTGCACTCTCACCCGATGCATTGCACTCCAGCCTCATCTCTTGTACGGATGACTGCTAAAAGTCATTCTTCTACCATCTATGGCCTCCTCCCTAACCTGCCTCCCAGTTGCTATTCCTGCCAGCTCCCCCATAGTCTCTGTTCCACCAAGATCTCTTAAAAATGTAAATCAGTTCACATCACCACTGTTTTAAGATTAAATGAGATAATTAGAGATTATCAGACTAAGTGATATAACCCAGAAAGAGAAAGACAAGTGGATATCTCAGTAGTTCAACTATATTCCCCAAAGTCTGGATATTAGATTCTTGGGGTCTTCTCTTGGGAAACACATGCAGGTTGCCTGAGATGCGTAGGTAGTCATCCTGTCTGTCAGTGGTTTCCAAGCGCCCTGGTTCAAACCCTAGGGTTAGGGCCACAGGATAGGGAAGACGTAGAAGCGAATCAGACACAGTCTGATTCCATGGACTCTGCTTGGTTTCTGTCTAATGTGGGTGATTTAGGGGTACACATACATACCTGACTGGGGGACCCAGGCAGGGAGAAGATATGCAGCTTGGTCTGACTCTTCAAACTTTGCCACCCCACAGGCCTCAGAGTTCTTCTTTCTGGCAATATATATCTCCGAGTTCATCATCAAGCTCTACGCAGACCCCATCGGCTTCTGGGAGGATGGCTACAACCTGCTGGACGTGGTCATTTTCTTCATTGTCTTCATCCCCCACATTATCCCCAAGATCATGGGCATATACTACCCCTACATAAACATTGCTCAAGGCATTCAGTCCCTGCGCATTCTTAAGATTATCACCTACAGCCGCGGCATGAGGGTAAGTATCCGGGGACGCTGTGTTCTGGGAGTGCAGGGCATAGGGCTGATCTGCTCAGCAGCCCCGATGATGTAATATTGCCAACACTCTCACCCAGCGATTGCATCCTCCTTGTAGCAGATTGATTCTTACCTATATTATCTCATTTAATCTTTTTTTTAAAAATTAAATTAAAAATTTTTAATCGAAGTATAGTCAGTTTACAATGTGTCAATTTCTGGTGTACAGCATAATGTTTCAGTCATACATGTATGTACATATATTTGTTTTCATATTGTTTTTCATTATAGGTTAGTATAAGATATTGAATATAGTTCCCTGTTCTATACAGGAGAAACTTGTTGTTTATCTGTTTTATATATAGTAATTAGTATCTATAAATCTCAACCTCCCAGTTTATCTCTTCCTATGTCCTTCCCCACTGGTAACTATAAGTTTGTTTTCTACGTCTGTGAGTCTGTTTTGATTTCACAAATAAATTCATTCATGTCATTTTTTAAGATTCCACATATAAGTGATAGCATATGGTATTTGTCTTTTTCTGGCTTACTTCGCTTAGTATGATAATCTCTAATTACCTCATTTAATCTTAAAACAATGGTAGGAAAGGTATTAGCTCCATTTTACAGATGAAGAAGTTGAGGCACACGGTCGCTCAGTAGTCAGATGCCAGAGCTGAGCTTTCAAAGATGCGTCTGACTCCAGAGGCCATCTGGTCTTTTCCTCTATCCCATACTACAGGGTTTGAACTACATGCCCAGGAGTCTCCAGATCTTTGGTGGTCCTGGCTACTCACTGCTTTCCCCCAAAACTAAGAGTCTCCTGCTTCTCTTGATGGGACGGTCTCATTATTGTTCAGGCAGCCCTGGAAGTGCTGCTCCTCCCCAGAAGTCCGGGGGTGACCAGTCTTCACTTGACTCACAGGTTTCAGAACAAGCCTCAGAGGTGACTCAAGCCTGCCCTTGGGCCTTTATCCTGACCACAGTGTGTTGGCCCTGGCTCTGCACTCAGCATCCATGCTTCTCCAGGAAGGGGCTGGTTTGGACCTATTTGATCAGTTAGGGTGTGTCAGCCTGTTCTGCTGAAGAGGTTGCCCCTAGCACAGCTGGGGGTCTGTCTATCTAGGGCCTAGGACTGACACTCAGGGACCTGGGTAGAGAAGAAAAGGGGGGTGGTAAAGAGCGCCTCCAGCCGCAAACCCCGTTAATTCATGTCTTGCTGTTATGTTGTCATACACCTGGTGTGCGTCTTCTCCCAAACAACAGAGTCCCGTCCTCCTGCTCCTTCTCTTCGTGGCGAGGCACCATGTCTGTGCTCCCAGGCCCCACTTCCTTATCTGTCATTTATGCCCAGTCTTCCTCCCTCAGCTCCACAGTCACTAGCCTCTCTGAGGTTGCCAGCAACCTCCCGTTACCAGTTCCTCTTGGTTTTCCTCCAGCCTCTTGGGCGTGACTTCTCGGGTGTATGTTGTCTTTGCCTGGCCCATGAGTGTGGTTTTCTCAGGACTCTGTCCTCAGTTCCCATCTCTTCTCCCTCCTTACGTTCTCTCTGGGTGACCTTTTCCACTTTTCAGGGCTCTTCATCTGCCCACACCTCCCTCTTTGAACTTTGGACCTCACTGCTTCCTGGATATTTCACGTGCTCCTTAGACTCAACACATTTCAACTGAAAGTCATCTCTCTCCTCCCACCTCCACTCTCAAATCCCCAACCTGACTCCTCCTCCTGTATTCTGTCTTTTGGTAATGGGTGTCTCCCACCCCCATTCAACTGCCAAGTCATAAATTTGAGTGTCGGCTTTGACTCCTCTCTCTGTAGTCCTGTAGTGTGGCCTCCTAGATCGTTATTGGCTTGCCCATGTCTTTTCACCCTGACAGCCATCATCTTTTCTCCATCACCATCTGCCTTTCCATGGGTTCCTGCAGTGGCTCCCCACACTAAGGAGAGCCCTGGAGCAGAAATGCCCCAGCAGCTGAGAGAAGCACTGAAGTGTACCTCAAATCATGGCATCCTTCCTTTCACACCTGAGAGTGGCTCCCCTTGCTCATGGGCTAGAGATAGACCTGATAATGTGTCCTAGTGGGAAGGGGAGTGTCTGGGGGGCTGGGCATTAGAATCTGTGTCAGGGAGGGATGAGAGTAAGTCAGGTGGACAGGAAAGACAGGAGCTCCCTGAGGGGTAAGTGCTGGGAGGTGGACACCTCAGAGTGAGGGAGTGATTAGACAGTGGGGAGTATAGCCTGGTTTTCTGGGTGTTGGGCCCCAAGGGAGCAGGGGCAAGGGTCACTGGAGATGAGGAAGTCAAGGGAACAAGAGGCCTGGGGGATGGTGGGTGTCCAGTGAGATGCTGAAAGCCCCTAGGATGACAGGAGGATGGGGTGAAGCCTGAAGCAGAGGAATGGGAAGGTGGAAAGTTGGCCCTGCCCAGAGGCAGGGGCTTTGCCCTTGGAGGCCAGGGCTTCGAGGATGAGGTAGAGGGTGGCCTCCTGAATCAGGTCAGTTGGGGGACAGGCAGCCTCCTTCAAGAGAGCTTCTAAGAAGTGACGTCCTCAGGCAAGAGGAGATTTTCAGGGAAGGCCAGATCACCGTAGAATGAGGGTGCCAGAGACCTGCAGGAGTCATGAGAGGAAGGAGGTGATGGCGATGGGCTGAGGGATGGGAAGTCCAGGACTGCTCAGGGAGGAGGACACAGAAAATACCAGTGGCAGGAGGGGCTTCTGTCTTGGGGTTTGAGGGGAGGGCAGGGACCCAGAGTGTCCCCTTGTGAGGCTGAGGGCACTGACTACCTGCTGGGTGCATCGTGGTGTCGTGTCATGGCAGCCTGGTCAGGCGGAAAGCCTGAGTCTTGGGGCCTGGCGAGGACAGCCCAGGGACGCAGTGCAGGGCACACAGCCCTCCTCACTGGCCAAGGCCTGTCCCACAGCTCAGCCTGGCTTGCTTGGTGACCACAGGCCTCTGCTCAGCCTTTTGTCCTCGAAGATATGCACAGTGACCCATGGGCACGCAGACACAGCATGTGCATAGACATATGGTCCGTATTTGACCTCAGGGTCTTTCTGTCATTAAGCAGAACCTTGTATCCAAAAGTTATTCCCTGGGGACCACCAGACGCCCTGGCGGTGGCTCTTCTGTGGCTTTGGGGATGCTCTCTGTACCCTGGCCTGGCTAGCTGGCCAGGGGGAGCTGGAGGTGCCAAAGGTGAGACCTTGTACCTCTGTGTTAATTTATATTCATTGAAGTCTAAATGAGGCTCTCATGGAGCCTCAGCTCAGTGCCCAGAGAGGGCCCTCTGGCAAACTTTTGCTCCTTTTTTCTGATTAATTAAAGTGACATTTTGCCTTCTGACCCATGGCAATAAACTTGCACTGTGAGGAAATTGTTCCGTGTTGTTTTATACACAGAGAGGTTCTGTTAGCTGGACAGCCAATGGCCACGCTGTCCCTGTTCATCTCCATTTCAGCCTGAAGAACAACCTTCAGACACCTGGCTGTGGTGGGAGCCCAGGCCCCATCCCCCGCCTCCCTCCTCCTCCTTGGGGCCCATCACCTGCCACATGCCTCTCCATATCTGGAATGCCCCAGGACCCAGAGGGCAGCTGCAGCTTGACTCAGCCCAGGGGAGCTGAACTGGGGACTAGGAATTGCTTCCCCAAAGAACTGGGAAATTCAGAATCAGGTACTTACTTGGGGCCAGGCTGTAGGCCTAGAAGGCCCCAACTTCCTCAGGTTAGGAGCTACCAGCCTATGGGGATCTGGGCAACTGTCTCTGGGACTGGATTCCTGCACACCCTGGACTGCAGACCAGTGGGTCCTGCCTGGATGGTGCTGGAAGAACGAGGCCAAGGCCAGCTGGCAGGAGCCAGTCCCACATAGGCTTCCAGGGAGCGTGACATCTGCTCCATGGCTGTTCTCAAGGTTGCTTGGCTTTGACCACAGGCACCGCTGGGCCTGCAGACTAGCCTGGAAGCAGGGGACCCAGCCAGTCCTCTCCCCCATCCTTCTGTGGTGCCTCAGGTTCCTGCACGAGGCGCTGCCCCTCCCTGCCCGCACAGACCTCACCTGTAAACTGCGTCCCATTGCTGCGTTTCTCGTGAGTTCTTACCTCTTCAGTCTTAGAAGTTCTTGGGAAAGAAGTTCTATCTCTCTTGCAGGGTTGGAGGCAATTTTTTACCTCTTAATTCTTTTGGAATTAATTCTCAAACACTGATTTTCTTCCCCCAAGGAGAGGAAGGAGGCGTTGTGTGTGCGGTTGCCCCTGCAGGTGGCTGCCAAACCAGTTCATGTGCAGGGCAGCCCTAGTGCTTCTGGGTTATCTCTCTGCTTCCCAAATTACTCTCAAACTGTCAAAAATTCACTGTCCCATGTCCCAGCTTTATCAGTACCTCCTTCCCTAGTGTTAAGTCAATAAACAGTTTCTTGGCTTAGTAAAATATGCTTTTGTGGTTGGCGGTGGTGGCACAAGGCAAAGGGCAGTTCCAGCTCTGCCATTATATTGCAGTGAGACCCTGGCCAAGGCACTTTGCTTTTCTGAGTCTCTGATCCCTCATCTTGAAATGTGAAGAATAATAACATCTGTCTGCCTTGACCTGATGTCTGTGTCAGTGTCAGTGTCCAGGCAGGTGACCGTGTATTGGCAAGACACGGGCATAAAGCATGAACGATGAAGAGTGGGAGATGAGACAAGCAAACACCCATTTCACAGGGGAAGCCTGAGGTCACAAGGTGGAGACCTTCCTGTGAAATGGGGTCCAGGAAGAATGGGAAGCCAGGTCTCTCAGCCCTCTTCATTCCCACTCCTAGGGTGGCTCTGCTACTCTTCTTGGGTCTAGAAGATCATTCAGGGCTGGCCCTCAGCTGAGAAGCAGGAGCAGGACATCCTGGGATGACCACAGATGCAGCCTGGGGTTCAGGTGGAGTGGTTAGTGGTGCTGACGGGTGACTACCCCCGCCCTGGGGCAGCACAGGCGATCTGCCCATGGGTGACTGAGTGTGGAGACCAGGTATTGGTAAACCACTGTTAAATTGGGGTAGTCCTCATCTGGGCGCAGTTCCCATTCACTCATTCATTTGTTCATTCATCATACAACCATTTATTGAGCATCTACCATGTGCCAGGCACTGGATGCTGGGGACAACTGGCGTTGGGGCACACTGGACCTCTGTCCTCTGAGCCCAGCCTGGCCTGGCAGCCTGGCTTAGACCCAGCACCTCTGCCTTGCAGACCCTCATCACCTCTGTGGGGCAGATAGCCAGTATCGTGGCTTCCGTGCTCATCCTGTTCTTCGTCCTGATGTACATCTTCGCTATCCTGGGCTTCTGCCTATTTGGAGTTTCAGAGAGGGCTGACCTGGATAACTGGGGGAACCTGGCTTTGGCCTTCTTTACCCTCTTCAGCTTGGCCACGGTACTGTGTTTGGGAACGGTGTTGGGGGCAGGGGCGTCAAGAAGTGATGGCCCGCTGGTGTGAGTGTGTGGACATGCTGGGCCTCACATGGGGCCTCCCCCATGTTCAGGCACTTAGCTGGGCTGTCCTCCCAGGGCTAAGCACAGGCCAGTGCCCTGGCCAGGAGTCCATCTCTGTCTCTAATCTTATGATTCCCTAGAGCATTCTTATTTGTCTCACAGGGTTGTAAAACTTTCAAAAAGTTCTCAAAAGATAATTCATTTGGATTAAGTTTCATTTAGACATGAAACCCATGTCACATAGCCTTTTTGGGAACAGGCTGTCACAAATCCACCCAGAATAAGCCTGCATTAGCCCAAGCCTAGAAGTCTAGATTCTGTTGGACTCTGGAAAGACTTGAGTCTTTCCACAGGAGGACCTGGAAGAGGGGCAGTGTCTTTTTGGGAAGGATGGGAGACCTTTTGGAGAAGAGCCCTCAGGCCACCTTGGTCAGAAGTGCCCCTACCCTGTGGGGCCCTGCATCACCAGGCCAGCATGTGTTGCACTGGAGTCAGTGGATTAGGAAACTGTTGAGGGGCTGAAATGCAAATAGAGCCAGGCTACTCCTCAGTGGGGCTGGGGCGCCCCTAGGGGAGCTGAGCATGAGGCCTGCTCCTCTGGGTCTTGGCACCAGCATACCCTGCTCTGCCGGAACAGGTTGATGGCTGGACAGACCTGCAGGAGCAGCTGGATGCCCGGAATTTTCTTCTGAGCCGGGTGTTCACCATCATCTTCATTTTGCTTGCCTCCTTCGTCTTCCTCAGTATGTTTGTGGGAGTGATGATCATTCACACTGAGGTGAGGTGGCACTTGTAAGGATGGGGAGGTGGGGGTTAGGTATGGCAGGTGGAGCTGTGGGCCCAGTCTCCAGGGAGGACCCTGAGCTGTCTCCCTCCTAGAGTGGAGGGGAGGTGGCCAGGTGGGTCCTTCCCTACCCCAGCCCAACTTTCCATGAGTCCGTGCATTCTCCCCACCTCATGATGGTGGCCAGCAGGACAGGTGCTTGAGAAATCACTGCATCTGCAACTGGCTGCTTGAATTGGGGGCTGGCCCCCTATGGGGGGAGGTCCTCCTGCTGAGGGGCCTGAGCAGCAGTGCAAGGCTGGAGGAGAAGGAAGATGAGGGGTGGGGTACACAGTGAGGGCCCACACCTTCCCTCCATCCTCCCACCCTCAGAATTCCATGAAAAAGTTTGAGCGGGAGCTGACGCTGGAGAGACACACGATTCTGATGGAGGAGAAGCAGGCAATTCTGAAGCGGCAGCAGGAGGAGGTCAGCCAGCTGATGCAGACGCAGGTAAGGGACCTCCACAGGCAGGCGGACAAGCAGAAGGATAGTCAGGGCTGAAGGACTGGTGTGGCCCATGTGGAGGGCAGGTGGCCTTGGACATCTGTGGCATTTGTTAAGTCAGGTACTCACCCCCTGTGCTTTTCAGAATCAGACTTTATTCTTGGCATTTTTGTATTTCTCCGAGCCTCTTCCAGTGTTGAGTGCTGTGATTATGATATTTTTTCTCCTTCGTGGGAAGAACTCTACTGCTGGGCCCTTTGCCTGGAGCACCCTTGTTCCTGAGGGCTCCCTGGGTGCCAGGCAGGCTGGGTACCTGTCTGCTGAGTGGGTGAGGCCATAGAAGCCCTGACAGGTGTTACTAACCTTGGTTTTTCTAAACCAGAAGGAGAGTGAGCACAACAGGCTGGGGCTTTTCTGCAAGCTACAACTGTGAAGTGGGGCGGAAGCCTTCCCTTTTCAGCTGAGTGCTCTGAGCCCCCTGTGTTGAGCCCTGGGCGCTACCCCGTTTCCCCCCATGTGGCCAGTGCCTCCTTTTCGGCCTCCTGTCTGAGATGGAGACAGCCGCCTATCTCGATGTGCCCAAGGTTTGTCCAGAGCAGGGTGAAAGGCTAAGCCATGCTCAGACTCTCACTGATTTCTGCCTGAGTCACCTGTCCTCATGTCAGTGATGCTGGCTCACCATGTGACCTCAGTCAGTGGGGTCCAGGCCCAGAAGGGGTTGGGGTGAACCTGTGATTAGGCTCAAGGCTCATCCTGGGACCAGGGTCAGGCCTCTGCCTGGGTGCCTCATGGAGGGTCCCCAGGTCTCTGTGTAGCCTGATCACCTCCTCCTCATTCTCATTCTCGTTCTCATATTTATGCTCCTCTCTGTAGAAAAATGTTGACTATAGTTTTGCTGAGCTGGTGGAGAACTTCAAGAAGACCCTGCAGCACACTGACCCCATGGTCTTGGACGATTTTGGCACCAGCCTACCCTTCATTGATGTCTACTTGTCCACTCTGGACAACCAGGATGCTACCATCAGCAAGTCAGTCCTAGCCCTGCTGACCCTGGCCCACGGGTGCCAGGCCTTTCCTGGTCCCCAGGCTTCTTTGAGGGTACCCTGTGAGAGCAAGGGGGGTGGTGGCCGATGTGCAGGGTGGGTAGAACGAGGTCTTTCTTGGGGGTGCATGGGACTGGGCTGCTGTGTAGACAGGCCCAGGCTGGTGGGACTCTACTCCCCTGGCCCTGCCTAGTACCCCTGACCCATATTTTAATACTGGCTCCTTTGGATCTTCAGGCCCCTCCCCACTAAGCCCTTTTCAGAGGGCAGAGGAAAGAGCCCTGTCTTGACAAGACAGAAGCTGAGGCTCCTGGCCTGGTTCTGCCACTGCTTCCTGTGCGACTCTGGCTGGGTCTTTGTCTCTTTCCCACCTGTCACAGGAGGGGCTGATTCTTGGAAAGCAGTGTGTATGAAGCTCCGAGCTCGGCCTGGCCCCGGCCAGTGCTCAGTGTGAGTCAGCTGGGATCGTAACTGGCCGTTACTGCAGGAAGGGGAGGGACATGATTAGCCTGGTTTCTCAATAAAAGCCCCCCAGAGAGCTTCGTGGACTGGAGGAACTGAAAGGAGGGGACCTAGGATCAAGAGTGGGCCAGGCAGTGTCTGGGCACATCTGATCCCCTCACTCAGAGCCCAGGAGTCTGTTGTCTCCAACTTGACCCTGTAGTGAAGTCACTTGCTCCTGGGGTCACAGGTAAAGTGGCAGACCCAGGTTTCCCACCCAGCCTGATCTGAGCCTGAAGTCCTTGCTCTTCTTTGACTCCACACCTGCTAGAAGTGGCGAACATGCAGGGTGCAGGGCCGGGTGCAGCCCACCAGTGAGCTCAGGCCCCCTTCCCTTTGTCTCCAGGCTTCAGGAGCTGTACTACGAGATGGTGCATGTGCTGAGGCTGATGCTTGAAGACTTGCCCCAGAAGGAGCAGTCGCAGTCCTCGGAGAAGGTGGATGATAAGTAGCTAGGTGTGGGCACCTAGGCACCAATGGTCTCACAGGCTGTGCCGGGTACCCATTAAACACAGACTTTCTGAGTTGGCCTCTCCACAGTTGCTATGATCATGGTGTTTTTCCACCTCTGGGAGTCAGGTGTGAGTAGGTGCCCCTGGAGTCAGCCAGACTTTGGGAGTAGGGAGAGGAGGGCTCGAGACTCATCCTGGCCAGAGGCCACATCTAGAATCTATACAGGCTCCCTCCTCCCTTGATCCCAGCAGCAAAGACCCACTGGGCTTCTGGGATAGCCACCTAAGGACCCCAGACCAAGAAGGACCTCCAGCTGTCCCATGAGAGTGCATGGCTCCTTTGAACTTGGGTGGCCCTACCGATCTGGAAGCTCTGCTGGGCATGTCTGTGTGGGTGTCCCTACACCTAGCAGAGCCACCTCTCTGTGCACTCGCTGCTGTAGAGACCCCCCCCCCCCACTTTGGAATTCTCTGCTTTTTCCTAGACTCACAGTGATGGTGGTTCCCATGGGGTGCCGCCTTGACTGGCAGGATTCTGTTGTGTGGGCAGGCAGCTCAGGGGGTACCTCATGCAGGGGCCAGGGGAGTGGCAGCATCGGGTACTTTGGTCCGCACCCTCCCTTTAGTTAGAAGTCTTCACTTAAAAAGTGGCATTTTCATGTCATTCTTGGCCAAATGACTGCCAGAGTTACTAAGGTCCTGGCCCCACCCTGGTCCAGCTATGATGGAGCCATCTGAAGGCCCAGGTGGGGCATGGCGGCCCTTGCTCCCAACTGGCCAGGCTCCCAGCAGTGCCCCCCTCTGCTCCCATGGCTGGGAAGTGTTCCTGAGGCCTGTTACCTTAGCAGTGCTGTCCTAGACAGAGGACAGATGAGTTCTGGGTAAAGCTGGTGTGTGCAGAAAGGTGCAGACCCACTCTGGGGAATCAGGTCAGTAGAAAACTTGTAGAATTGAGAATGACTGGACCAGGGTCCCCTGGGGGTGGTCCATGGGCTCTGGGCCTGGATGGCAGCACCCCTGAGGCCAGGGGACAAGGGCCAGAGGAAACCTTTACTTGCTGTTTCATCCATCCATCTGATTCCTATTTCCTGAGCTGTGCTGGGTGCTGCGGGTTCTGTGATGAGAAATCCATGGTCTCACCCTGGCCCTCTTGGTGCCCACAGTTGTGTAGGGTGGAGAGAGTCATCCAACCAGATTTGATGAGAGAAAATTTCCCTCAGGACGTGATAGTAATTGTTTGAATGCAGAGGGCACATGTCTTCTAAGATGCTCAAATTATTTCCATTTGCAAATGTGCACACTCAGGACCAAATTGAGAATTGTGTGCAAGGGTGCCAAGGAGGATGGCTCTGGGGTGTGAGACTGATCACCATGCTGTGGGGAAGCTTCCGAGGGCAGCGCATGTGGCCTCGCTGCTTCCTGGGGTGGAGAGAACTTTGTGCCAGTGCCCTGGGAGGTAGGCCTGAAGTAATGGGGTATGCATCCAAGGCCTAAATATGAAGGGTTGACTCCCTGCTGGGGGCTTGCAGGGATGCTCTGGCAGGTGCAGCCCAGTCCACAGGCACCCAGGCCTCAGGTAGTGGCTCCGATTCAGGACTGGGACAAAGCAGACACTGCCAGCTGCCCCACACTGGATGTGCCAGTGTTGCTTGGGGGATCTGAAAACACCTCTACCTGTTCTCACCCCAGAATCCTGGGAGTTGCCCTAGGCCTCTGGGAGTGAACAAAAGATTAAAAAAATTTCCTCAGGGAGTTAAGTTAATAAGTACTGTGGTTTTAGAGTCCAGAGACCTGGATTCCTTAATCAGGTGACCTTGGGCAAAGTGTTCAGTCTTTGGAAACCTCAGTTATTTCCTCTGAGAAATAGGTTGATAAAAGTGTCCAACTATAAGGTCAAATGAAATACATGTGAGAGTGTAAAAAAAAAGACATAGTCAACTATTGTTCGTGCTTCCTGGCTCTCAACTCGACCTGTGCTGTGCGACCAGCTATGGTGGTGGGCTGTGCTGGTCATGCGCTGAAGAGACACTCGACCGACCAACAGTGAAGTGGTGGGGGTGAAATTATGGAGCTGAAGGCAGTAAGTGGAGGTCAGGAAGCTGTGGGGGTGGAGGGGTGAATGGGTGTCCAGATAGAGCAGCGTGGGATGAGCAGCTAGGAGGTCCCAGCAGGGAAGCCCCAGGCATGGCCGAGGGCAGGCTGCCTTTAAGGGCATGAGCAGAGAAGGCTTTCACAGAACTGAGAGCCGGAAGAGGGTGACGTGCAGAGGGCTGGCTCAGCGCTGCTGTCAGAACAAGCCAGTGGATATTTGGCGCCAAGTCCCAAAGCAGCATTTCTGTTTGGCTCTCTTTGCCTGCAGAGCAAATACTGGCAGATTGGAATTCCCACTTGGGCTGTCACCAACTCAAACAGGCTTGGCCAAGGCTTTCAATTGATTTGCTTGGGGCAGAAGTGACTCTGCTTGCCCAGGCCTGGCTGTGGAAAGCAGGACCCTCCTCCCTACCCCCAGCCCCCGGGTCTATTAGACTGCCCCCAAATGGCTCGCTCTTCTCCATCCTGCCAGCCAGGTGGTTGAAGCGGCAGTGGGATGCTGGAGACCTGGCCCTGAGTCTTCTGGTCACGCCCAGGGCCGCCCCCAGCTCTTGTAGGAAGGATATGGAATCCAAGGCTAGAGGTGTTTGGAAGGTGGCCGGATTTTTTTTTTTTAACTGCTTGTTGATTCTACTAGCAGGAAGCAGTCCCTATAAAATGGAAATCCAGTCAGTGATTGAGACTATAAGCTCTCCTCTTTATTCCAACCAGCCCCTAGAACTCCAGTACTGAGATGCTGGAAATTGCACATCTTGATGTTTTCTTCCAGTGTGGTGAGATAGGACACCTACTAAGATGAACTGCCCTTACCAGGTCAGGCTTTGCTCTCAGCTCTATCTCTCCCTGTTTGGGTCTCTGCCCCTGGCCTCCAGTTGCCTGTCCTGCTTCATTGCCCGAGAGGCTCTCAAGAGAGTTGGCAGCTCTGAATTCCCAACTAGGCAACTCAGGAAGGAGGTGATTGTTGCTGATTCTAGCTGCGGGGGTTGGGAAGCAGGGAGAAAGGAGCTCAGTGGGATGGAGTGAGATTCATCAGCGCATGAGCCCTACTCTTCCCCACACTCTGTACCAGAATTTTGTCTGGACTTGGTCAGCCACATGCCACACCTTCCCTAGCTCTGATTTCGCTTTAGGCTTGGTGTGATGCAGCGCTTGGAGGACAGGGGAGAGGCAGGGCTGCAGAGCTGGAAGGAAAGGGAGCATTGAGCTTTCTTGGTTGGTTCCTGGCTTCTCTTCTGAGGTAGAGAAGCAGGGTAATGGGCAAGACAGAGAAAACTGAGAGACCAGCAAGTCTCGATGGACTACACCACAGGAGCCCGACAGGGAGGAAGAAAAGTAAAGGCCGAGGGCTGGGAGTCAGAAACATTGGACAGAGGCTCTGACCCACCTGGAGGGTGTGACTGGAAAGGGGACGAATGGGGGCAGCAAGTGTCCTCATAGGGTGAGGACTGGAAGCCCACTGATATTCCTTGAGAGGGGCAAATAGTGATGGGAATTATTTAAAGATGATTTTTGGTTGCTGAACTGTACCTTTGAAAAATGGAGCCCCATGAATAGATTCAGTCACCTGGGGTCTGGATTATATTTGTGCGACCTAAAGATGGCCGTGTGTAATAGGCATCTCTCAGGCTAGAATTGGGAAATGTTTAGAGAGCTTTACAAACCACTGAGTGAGTCCCCCAGCTGTGATCTGAAGCCTCTAGGTGAAGTGCCCCTGAGGGTGGTTGGCACTAAGTGTGACCGGCTTTTTGCAAAATGAAACTGAAGTCTTAAAAGAAAGGGTGGAAGAGGCCAGAGGGGGAGGAAGAGTCTGTTCTAAAACTCTTGGGAAACTGGCGATTGATCCTAGCTTTTTTAAACTGGTGATGGGACAGTGACATCTCACAGCACAGGCACCTTGCTGCCCCACAGTTCAGCATCCTGAGATCACAGCTGCCCCAACACCCTCCTTCCCCTGGGGGCCTTGATGACTGGGATTGGGGCTTGAGATGAAAACACCCTTCAAAACGTGCCACTGGGCCAGAGAAGGAGTAGTCCAAGCAGAGGTCAGGCCGAGGCTCTAAAGGGTATGGCCTCTCCTCTTTGTTGACTGTGGAAATACCGCTTTCTATTTTGTCAGTAGTTCTCATACTTTCACATACATGATTTGAATATAATAACAACATTTAGGTGCTTTCATTATTCCCATTAAACAGATGGCAAAACTGAGGTCCAAAGAGGTGATGTAACATACCCAAGGTTGTCCAGCTCAGGGGGAAGAACCAGGATTCACAACCAAGCGTGTCTAACTAACTGCTCCGCTGTCACGCTGTGCAGCTGTCTTCTAAGGCACTGTCATCCCCATCTTATAGGTGGGCAAGCAGCGCTCAGAGAGACTGTTGCTTGGCCAGGATCATCATTAGAGGGCAGAGTCAACATGTGAATGCAGGCCATATGTGTGCCCCTCTGCTCTACTTCTCACGGCAACCTTGTTCTTTCTTATCAAAGCTGTTTTTAAACTTTAAAAATCAAGCCATGATTTCCTTCTGAGCAGTGTCTGCCTCTGGGAGGAGGGAGGGTGGCCCCTGAGATGGATCTCATTTAGCCAGTTTGTGGACACCTTCTTGCTGCCTGGTGGAGGCTCTGAAGTCTGCTGGTCCAGCAGCTCCTGACTTGGCCCTGGGAGCCCTGGGACCTCCAGGGATGGGAGAGGGCGACAGGAAGCAATCAGTGTGTGCAGATGGGTGGTGACTGTGGTGCCTAATCAGGAAATTATAGCCTGGGCAGAAGAGGGGTTTGGCTTGAAGTCACCCTTCCCAGGATTTGAGTAAAGCAGGCCCACAGGGAGGCGTGGCTGGTGGATGGGACACGTTGAGCGGGCGTGAGCTCAGCGGGCAGGATGAGCCAGCCTTGTCAGTGCCGCGCAGAGCGGC